AATATGTAGATAAAAAATAACAGATAGAAGAATAGAGAAAGATTAATTAATTAATAGAGAATTATATTGAACAGCTTTGTAGATAAGTTCTACAACAATTATTACCGCCTATCAACTTTATTACTGGCTTGTGATGCCCATTTATTATCTTTGTTTATTTTTAATAAATTTTTTAAGTCCGTATTTGATTCCTCATATTTACTCAATATAAGATAAGTTTCTCCGCGATATCTTAATGCGCATGCGTTGTTTGGCTCAATCTTTAATATTTTTTCTAAATCTGCAAGCGCCTTTTCATATTTTCCCATAATAAAATAAGCCTTTGCACTATATTTTAATGTAACCGTATTTTGGTTAATTCCCAATGACTTTATAAAATCTTCAATCATGTCTTTATCTTCGTTATCGCATTGTTTAAGAGCTTTAATCCATTTTTCTTTCAATTGATCATCGTCAATATCATCATCAGTTATTGCTATTCGTAAAAGTAACATTAAAATAAATTTAGACATGTAAAAATAAATATTCAGCGCTTGATAAAAATATATATTCTACCTGTATATTTAAACTTTTTATCTCCAAAATTCGCCTCTATAGATATAGTCCGCGTTTTGACCTTATCCCAATGCAAGGATAATAAGGATCTTTCTCCAAATCTTTTTTTAAGTCTCGAAATGCAATTCCTTAAAAATGGTGTAAAACATTAACTTTTATCACACAAATAAATTTAGACGTTAAATAATAATGATTACCTAGATTCACACCATTTTTAGTATATAATACAGTGTTATTTCTAAAATTTAAACAGCATCCAATAGTATCACTGGCTTTAAATGTAGGCCCATATGGCTCTTCAATTTTTGAACAATCGAAAAAATTTCCATCATCGTTATGATATCCCCACGAGTTCATACCACACCCTGTAAGAATATTGTTGAATGAAATATATTTTTTATTGCTAATAAAAATTGAGCCTGTAAATATCTGGTAACTTATCTAGTTCAGCTGATTTCATGCAAAATCCGATTGCAATAACTCTTAAAGAATTATAAGAAATTACTGTATAGGGAAAGGAATCTTATTTAAAGTCGCCAGATGTTTTGCAACTTACCCATTTTTTTTGTTATTTATAATGTCGATTTCAAAGTAAAACAATTTGCATTGTAACGGAATTGGGTTATTTGTACGAATTACAGCATAGCTATTTTCGCCATGAGCTTTTTTATTTTGAAGAAAATTTAACAAGGTAATAAGTTATGTAATACGGCCTTGATATTTTTTAATAACCCATAAAATACAACATATTAGTAATAATGTGTGTTCTCACCTGTATATTTTACTCTAAGTCTATTTGAATCCACATTTAAAAGAGCGGATTTATCATTAACATTCCATGTTATTGGAGTCATGACTTGTTTCACTTGATGCTAGTAAATGCAAATATTATATATATTAAATAGTGTTATAATGCTAGCGGTTGTATTGATAGAACAACAACTTTACCTGAGACTTAATATGTTAAACCAATCCGTTAATAAGAATAATTTATTAACGTTAACGTTAACGTTAAGCATTTAAAAAAAATACCATCCATATTTAATTATGTTTGTTGCACACTTATATGCATGCGTATGTTGATAAATGTATACGTTGCATACTGCGAAAGATAATTTCATATGTGAAATTGAGTTATAAGTGACTTTTGTCAAAATGAACGTTTGCTTGAATCTTCCTGATCGTGCTACGTTACACCTGATATTGAAATTTGACTAGCTCTCAGACCTGGGCGATGCTCCGGGCAGTGTTCGAAATTAGTGTTCTCAGAGGTCTCATGAGAACACAAATTTGTGAGTGAGAACAGTTGAAAGCCGATTTTTTATATTAGAGAACACTCAAAAATTGACTCCAAAAATACTAAATAGAACATGAGAACACTAATTTAGTTCCAGATTTCGAACAATGGCTCCGGGGCTAGGTCTTAAGTGTTTTAGATCTCAGATTCGGTAGTTATTTAATTTATAAATTCAATATTAGTTTAAAAAATAATGTAGTAATTAATTTATAGTTTTCTAGCTCTCAGGCCCGAGCGATGTGTCATACTTGTTTTATATTCTTGTGGCAATGTTATAAGTGACGATAGATTTTTCTAGAAATGAATATTTATGGTTTATATAGCGATAGCAACCGATATTTGTATATAATTAGCCGGAGTTAGTGTTGTTAGGCAAAACCTAGAGGTTTTGCCAAAAAAAAATTTTTTTAATGGCAAAACTAGTAAAATTGATAAAACTGACAAAATTAGGTAAAATTGGCAAAATTAATAAAAGGTAATGAAATTAGAAAAATATAATAAAATTAGTAAAAGATAAAAAAATAGTAATTAAGACAAGAATAAAAAATAATTAAAAAAAATCAAAATTTTTTTATATAATTATTTAATTTTTTATTTTTTATATATAGTTTAATATTTAAAAAAATTGATATTAATAAAATTGATAAACTCTTGCCAAGCAATATTTGGAGCTGCTTACATAGAGAAAAAGTTAATGCAGCTCTCAAATGTGCTATAGCCTTGAAAATTCAAATGGAAGATATTACTAAATAAAATAACTTCCATGCTAACAATAAAAATCGATCTCATGTTAATGCCAATGTGCTTGAACGAATAAATGTTGAAAGGATTGAAGAAATATGTAGACATACTTTCAAAAACAAAACTTAGATCGTTGTGGCTGTAACTCATGCCAGTCTTCCCAATTCCACATCTTGAATTTCTAGGTGATGCAGTATTGGATTTTATGGTAGTAAAATACTTATTCGAGAAATATCCTGATGAAGAACTGGGATAATGACTGATCTAAAAGATGTGGCTGTTAATGTTAACAACCAATTCTTGGTGCAATTTGTGAACGAATCAATCTTCATAAGCATATAATCATTTTTTCAGTAAATTAACAGGTAGAATAATGGAATTCGTTTATGTTTTAAATTCTCATCTCATATACACGAGTTATTTATAAATTAGTTATTTTAGATTATATAAATATTTGCAATATATTATAATTTTGAATAAAAATTATAAATCAAAAAATCAATTCATTTATTAAATTATTAAATTGAAAGATTTATAATTTTAAATTGCTTAATTCGAAATTGTTTAATAAATAAGATAACCTAATAATTTGCATCATGAGGTTATTTAAATTAGCTTTTGTTATATAAAGTTTTAAAAGCAAACTGTTAACTTTACAGTTATTATTATTATTAAAGTTAACATTAATGTTACGGTTAATATTTCAAAGTAGCTGATTCAGATATACATATTCTTCTTTTTTTGAATTTTAAACCTTTCAACGAATACTAAAATTTTGATTAAATGTCATCATTTCAGATTTTTTATAACAACTATCTTTCTTATATTCTAATATACTATCATATATCCTTACAATTTGATTATGAGAGAATTTTACAATAGATGTCCTGAGGAAAGAAATAATATGCTTCAAAAATAACAAACTCAAAGTTCTGTTTTTGGTTAAGCAGTTTTTTACTGCTGCTTTCATCTCTTGGTACCTTAGTATATTAAGTTCATGACTTAAGGAATGTTCAAAGTTTCATTTTCTTTGCCTTTATGTTTTAGCATTTGTTCACTTATATTTTAAATGTTTTTAATTATTCTTATAAAAAAATTTTTATAATATTTTGAAAAAATTAAAGATTCCATAAAATACATTTTTATTTTAACCTTGTAAAGATTTATAGATGTTCTAATTTGGTGAATCGTATTACCAGTTACTGTATTTTAATTTATTATCTACCTCAGTATCTTAAATAATTTATCCTACCATTAACAATTTCTATTATTAATTATTTTAATATAAACTTTATACTTTTTTATTGAATTGATAAGAAAGATCTCAAATTCTAAAGTAATAAAATCTTGGAACAAATTTTTTTATTACTCACTATAGATTTGTTCAGAATAAGAAATCAAATTTAGATGATTCTATAACATTAATAATAAATTAATTAAATAAGAAAAATTATAAAATATAAATCACTTTACTATGAAAATAGCTTTGCATTTTGTTAAAGGTCATGTGCTATATAAGTAAATTGTTAAAACCATTTTTAGTTAAGTATGGGTTTAGGCTTTTCTATTTATGCCTTAATTGATAACTAGAATAAGAAAGCAGGCAATTCTGATCTTTTTTTTTTCTCTTATGAACATGGAACACTATAAATGACCTACTTTTTTTTTCTATCAATTAAAAGAAAAAAATTTAATTTCCTTTATGGCATCTTTTTTTCACAACATACACATGTGTACAGACATGTATACACAGAAATGAAGAAAATAAATAAACATTAAAAATGAACTTTTAAGTTAATTCTGGTTGGACTATTTCGGTATTACAACAATTAACCTTCTTGAGCAGGACATTAGCTCTGAAGCTGTTACAGCTTCAACAGCTTGTTGATTAATTTGTAACATCTTTTTTTGAGCAAGTTTTTTATTGATCTTTTTGTGTCAAGGTTCCAGATATTGAAAACCTATAAGTAACATTTTATTCAAATAAAATTTACTTACAGGTTTCCCTGTGCATCACTCATATGTCATTATATCATAATAATAATCAAATAGAATTCTCTCGAGTTAGTTATATTAAAAATCAGTTAAAAATATGATCACATCATTTAAGAAAACATTTATAAATATTACTGTTCAAGTAAATTCATATTCTCTATTTTTTAAAAATAAAATTTTAAAAATGATTGAGATAGTGGATAATAGAAATAAACTTATAAAATATTGCTTTGATATTTTGTGAAAAGCAACTGAAGAAAAAATAATTTAGTTACTTTTAATAAAAATCCATTATTCATATTTACCTTTAACTTGATCGATGGGGATTCCAAAACATTAAATTTAGAAGTGCCAAATGTAGTCCTCATTACTAGAGAAAACTTTATAAAAATTTTAAGAGTTACCGAACAGAATGGAAAAAAAATTGCAATCAATGATGAAGAGGTAATTACAATTATCTTTTAAGTTTGTTATATATAGGAGCTAACAAGGCAAAAATCTTATAAAGGAACCTAGTAATTCATCAACTAAAATAGCCATTCAAGAAAGTGCACAAAATTCTAGCTTTGATGTTGAGGCAGATAGTACTTTATTGATAAATAATCAGATCTCTAATGATTCTAGCGATCTCATACCCATACAACATACTGACTCTCTTTTAGATGAATATTCTAACTCTGATGAAGAAAACGATGAGCAGGATTTTGATACAGCTTTAACTTTATTGCATGAGGTAAAAGAAACAAGTCAATCTACTAACAAGCATCAGTTCAAAATAAATACGAAGTTTAAAGCTGCAAAGAAAGTTAAGACAAATGAACGATTTGATAAGGTATATGAACTCTAATCAACCAAACATAATAATACTGATTACCTAAACAATTGTATTAACTAATAGGTAAATGATGGATGAGTTTCTTCAAACTTGAGAGAGGATAGTTCTCTGAAAAGAAGAATAAAGCATTAGTAACTATGAAATTTAAGTGTTCTGGTTTATTAAGTTACATAGTATAAATATTTAAAGCTTAAAGTTTTTAGGACCAATTATTAGTCAGCAGAAGATAAAGGTGATGAATGTGGGAATATTCAAATAAGCCAGCAAAACAATATAATTGTTAGTAATAATAATCAATTAATTTACTTTTTTCGATTTTTAAAATATACATTTATTCCTTACCTCTGCAAAAATATTGTTCATTGAAATGCTGAATATTATACAAGAATGAAAAAGAATGAATGAAATATTCTACATCTGAATCATCCAATGCTGACCTCGATGGTATGTAATTAGATATTTTTTTTAAAACAAAGCATTTCAAACAATAAATTAATATATCTTCTATTGTGATTAGTGCATGAATGTGATAGGCTTCAAAGTTCTAATAAGATGGTGAACCTTTCACAAACATCAAATAATCCAGAGTTTGGTGAGGAAATCGATGCCTTATTACCTAACTCTTATTCATCAATCAATGTTACTATCAGTACTTTACAAGCAGTTGGCATCAATAATAAAATTTCAATTGATAACGAATGCATTGCTAATAAGCAGGTAAGAAATTTATTAAAGAATTTGATAATTTCCTGTAACTAAGTTAATCTAAAAATCTAATTTATCATTTACAAATTACCAACTTAAGCAAGCTGAAAATAATGGAAAATTGATTGAACCTATACTCAGTACTCAGTCGATACTGATTATAAGCTTATTGAAAAAAGCTTAAAAGAAGTAGAAGATAATTTTTAGAGCAAAAATTTTAAAGTTTCAAACTTTGTATAAGATTGGTTAAAACTTTTTTCTGTCATTCTGGTCTTTATACAAAATATAATATGTACTGTATTAATTCATTATTTGCAGTCTGGTTTAAAATTCAAATAAAAGACATGTTTGGTGATAGTTTAACTAGAAACTTAGAATGTACTTCATAATTTTATATGCATTGCAATATAATATTCCTAGTTATTTTTATTCTCAATTACCATTATTTAATTTGGAATTTTAACATTTTTTTTAGTAATTACACTACAGGAATTAATTTTTTTAAAAATTTATCTAATAGTATGACTTTTACATGATTTTGGACCGCGAAATTATATAATGGTTTGGCTTTTGAACAATAATTTCTTGAAGTGTCAGTTTAAAATAATGATACACTAATTAAATAACAATGATATACTAATGCTACTTTTCATCTAAAAATTAACATTTGCATTAATACAAAGTAGTAAAAATATATAAGTGCGTGGGAGTGAAAACCTGGAAACTAATTGAATGATTTACTATGATTGGTTTGCAGATTTTCACTCTCTCACACTTATATCTTAAATTTTTGTGCCAAAAACTTTTATTAAATAACAAAGGCTATTGTTTTGTTTCACATACATTAGTGACTTTTCATAGAACAACATACGGGTTTATTCCTTCTGCCATCAAGTATCCTACGCAAAATTATAAAGCATTACTTTTTTTTTTAATAAAATAACTGTTGTCTCGACAGGCCATAACTGTAAATAAAAACTAACCTATTATTAGGTCATCAAGATCAAATAAAAACCAACCCTTTTAATGACTATCGTCCTAACAGATCATTCATAAAACTTAGATTTGACAAAACAATGCTCATTTAATAGTTATGTGTAGAGTGGGAGGGATTGACAAAACCAGACTAAAAGTCAGGTTTGCAAAAGAAATAGAGTTATCTCTAACTCTATTCTTAAATACTCAAATCAAATAAACTTACAAGACATCATTATTACTGATGAACCTACTAAACCCACTAAATATAACAATTATCTCATAAAATCAAAAAGGCTATTTCATTACTAAAATGATTATTATACTAAAACACGTCACTACAAAACTATCCATGTGACTGTAATAGGGCATGTTACATGCCTAGTTTTGCTGATTCGAGACAAAAGCTGCCTCGATACTATCATATCGAGCAGCTTTAATTTTATTTGCGCATTTGAGTTTTTTGTAATTTCTTGCTTTTACTTCGCATTTCTATGATTCACACTGATCTTACAATTAGTTTAGATAAAAATCACAGGACTATAAAATTTTTGTGACATCAGTATTTTACTCATCTTTGCCACAAAACATTCATTTTGATACTTCTGCATCTACTTTTTTGATACATCTAAACATATTCTAAAATTTCTATAACTTTACTATAATTACGTGTGATCTTATTGGTTAGTTTTAGGGTATATTTAGATGTATCAAAAAAGTAGGTGTAGGAGTATCAAAAATGGATGTTTTACAACTCTGCCATAAAGTAGGCATAGATAAAGTCATGTGATTAAGCATTTTCACATAAGGTCCTAAAACTGTGTTGGCTATCCAAAGTTTTCGATTCATTGGGTTAGTCTGATGTCATGTATTTTAATATCATGATAAAAAATATGAAGATATGTGTTACAATTATTACATGCTAAATATGTAAACTTTAAAAAGACTATTATATTCTAAATGGTTTGATTTTTTAAGTGTAATAGTAGAAAGTTAAACAATTAGAAAGTTAGTTTGTCAATTAAAATAATATTTATCTGGATTAATTTGATTGACATGTATTTTTTTTTATATATTTTTGTGATGCAATTTTTTCAAATTTTGTAGAATATTTGTGTGATTCTTGGATGAATTTAGTAATAGTGATAGTAAATTTCTTAGTCAATTCCTATATTCAGTTGAATTTCCTTTATCCTTGATGACATCTAAGTTAAAGCAATGATGTTATCCTTTCAAAAAGGTAAAAAGTCTTGTTTAAAAAGGTAATTTTCGACAGATTTTAATACTTTATAATTATTATAATTTCTAAAATATTAAGTTCACTTATAAGTTTTCTTAAATCATTTTTGGTTTTTTTTGTTTAACTGTTTTACCAAATTCTTTTTCAAAATTTCTGCTACTTCAATAAGCATATCAAGACACTCATAATTGTTATTACAATGAGTCTCTAGTGCTAAGGATAGGTTCTAGTGTGCATAACTTTTAGTGCATTTAGTGAATCATTTTAAATTTTGTTAAAATTTACATATTGCAAATGAGTAAAATAATTAGAAATATAATTAAAAGTGTTGGTTTATTTGAATTAACTTATTTTAATAAATTGTAAACTTTTATTCATTTAATTGCCTTAAACATAAAATATTTTACTGTATTTAAGCTTTATAATTATATCGTATTTTGCACTTAAATAACAAATTGACATGAATTATTTAATTTTGACTAAACAAAAACAATAAATTCCTTCTTTACTTCATTGCCTGATTCCTTCTTATTTATTATAAAAAATTTTAGTGATTTGCATTTTGTCTTTAGAATAATTCTATTTAATTCTGTCATTATTTACTAATTTGAGTCTTTGAAGATTTTGTAAATTATTTTAGTCTCCTCCAAAAGGATTTTTAAAAGAATCTTTTATTAATAATTCCTCGAAGATTGGCAAATGAATTGCAATATTATCTTTTTTAAACTTGGTTCTCTGTAAAATTAAGTTTCTAATGCTTTGAGATTTAAAAATGACTCTGACTTCTGTTAAATATATCGATATTAATAGGATTCATATTATTTTGCTAACAATCACTTCATAGACACCAACCACATAAAGGTGGTCAGAGAATGGTAGTATTGACATACATGGAAATATGTACTGTGTTCCTTTTGCAGCACAATGTAAAAATTATAGAAGAAAAATTAGTAAATATATATATCTTTTATTTTTATTTTTCTTTATTTAAATAATTATTTTATTAAATTTTAGGACCTGCAACTGTCTGAGAATTGATAGGGGCACTAGCTTTAAAATCCAGTTTGATTCTAGGTATTATAGTAATCCTTTCGAAGAAAATATATTCGGATGGCAGATGGATAAATGCATATACACCAGGTGCGTATAATGCTACAAATAAATTTGGGATTGTACTTTATACATAAAATCGAGGAACAAGGAGATTGAGTCTGAAAGCGCAAATCTAAAATCAACTGAAAGTCAAAGAAGGTTAAAAAAGATGATTCCAAGGGTAAACAAGTAAATAAGGTGAATAAATCTTATCATGAAAATAATTTGTAATATTCTAATATATTTTTTCATTGAAGGATTTAATTAAATCATATTTTTATAATATTTTCCAGAGCTTATTAGAAACTCAGGTAAGGAGTCTTGAGTTCTGTGATATTTTTTAATTTTGATGTTTTCTAATTCATTTATCAATAAAAGGGAGATACCAACAACAAAAGTTCAGTAAGTTAAAGACTATCCATATTATTACATGTATTAAAAATTTATTTATAATTTTATGAACCTCATTCATTTATACTAAATTTTTAGGATCTAGGAAGTACTTCTGTGAATTATACAACTTCAAAATTTAATGGTATGTTTTAAGTTTTAAATTTTAATTAAATTTAAATAATTCAGAATTTATTTTTAAGAACTACAAGTTTAATTGTTCATAATTTTTTTTAGACCTACAAATAGACTCGATTGCCTATAGCAAACGTCTTAAATCGCCATCATATTATGCAGAAAGATTGAATGAACTAAGAAAAAAAGAAGGAATGTCCAACAATTTTGCATCAAATACAAATGATCTAGTGGGAATGTGTTCACAACCAATTGTAAAATATTTTAATAAAAACTCAACACTAGTATTGTTGGAGCCATTGCCAAATTAGATAAAGGATGTTAACAGTTGTTTAAGTATCTTCAATTATAGGAACAACACTTTGAACATTATCAAAAAAAGATTACCAACCAACAGTATAAAATGTTAAAACTAATATATTCTTTGTCTGATTTCTTTTTTATATTGTTGATACTTTGCCAACAAGAACAACAAGAAGAAATGAGCCCAATTGCATTGGATAGAACTACAGATAATTGAAAGGTAATGATTTAAAGGCTTGAATTAACAAAAAGTTTAGCAATATTAATTAATGCTCTATTTTGAGAAAGTAGACTGCATGTTGGAAATTGCATCATTTCCTATAGGTAACAAATGTTACATTAAATGAGATGATCAAAGTCAAGCTAAATGCAAAATATTTTCTCATAGCAAGTGAATATGAATATAATTTCCTGATTAAAAAACTGTTTAGAAATCCAGAATTCCCTGAATTCCATAACATTAAAGGGGAGAAAATATTAGAATTAGTAAATATTGCAAAGAATGCTTACACAATTTAATGATAATTGTTTGTAGTAATTGCTTAATTTTGTTTTTATTTTTTGCTTTTACTCTATTTCTTTTTTAAAAGTAAAACAGACAAATAATAAATGAATTATTATTTAAAACATGCAGTAATTACTAATTAGCAAATTTTAATATAAAAAATAATATCATATTATGTGTTTAATCTTACAAAAATTTAATTGTATGTTATTAAATATATTAATGCTTGACTTATAAATAAAAAATCAAATACCTTAATAAAATTTGTATTATTTATATTTAACCTTGTTTTTTTCACATAATTCAATTCACTCTTTTATCTGTTAACTTAAATGCCACTTGCACATAAATAAAGAGGATCACACATCAAAAAAATCCTTGAAACAAATAATAATGATTCTGTTAATGATAAACTTTAGCACATATTTTAATTTTGTTAATTGAACTTAGTTTATTCTCCTACAGCATCAAGGTGCTGTCGGAAAATGAACTGAGTTTCAATGGACTATGATAAAATTAAACATACTAATTCTTACACTTGTAA